TTTTTTGGCCGAGCAAAATAAAGCAGCTGAGTGGTGCGAAGGTGACAGGATTTTCTCACATTTATGCCTGTTTGAATTTCTCCTTCATCTGAAAGCACAATTACGCTACTATTTTAATTACTATATTCCCACCATTCAGCTCTTCATTTATTTTGAATACTGAACGGAAGGTGAACTATTACTTATTTTAAATAATGAAAGGGGAGCTTTCGAACTGCTTGGCTCAGCTACACAACGCAACTGCTCCCTTTCAAACGCCAAGTGAGAGCGAACGATCGCTTATGTTGTCGCACTTTGATAACAGGCTCCAGTTTGTGATGCATGCCTTTTTGTATTTCTGCCTTTTCAGCATTTGTCCCCCTCAGTAGTTTTCCAGCTTCTGTATTATTAAAGCAGGCAGTGGGGTTGTATTGGAAATCCAGCAGAAAAGCCTTTTTTGCAGCTACATCCATACAGTGTGCACGGCCCTCACACAATGGAAACCCTGTTAACCTAGATGCTTGCTCATGAACGCCACGGGCAGACGCTCATGATGCTTTAGAAATATACACTGCGTACCTCCTTGAGCCATGTGTGGTGTGACGCAGACATTTCAGCTACAGTCACAAAGGTCTGGGGCTCCAGAGTGTTTCCACCTGACGGGCGAAGCTTGGGTTTCGTCAGTAGCCGATCACGACCAAGGCAGCGCACCCTCAGCTGACCGCCTCTGGGGGTCAGGCTAGAGTCAGCCAGAGCTCGCACAGGGGTCAGGGCAGCAGTGACCCCGCGACCTGCCGGGCCTCAGGAGGTCAGGAGAGAGCTGCATCGCTCCTCCGATCACAGCTAACCAGGTCGAGGGAGCTGTGCGGCTGTGCGGCATGAAAAACAGCACATGACACTGGACTGGGGGTGTGCAATCTGGAGGAAAGCACTGTAATAGTCCCTGATTCTTATTATGACTTACTATGGGGCTGAATTGAGCCGATTTTATGATTTCAGATTAGGGAAGGGGGTACAAAAATGAATTATATTTTTGAGTTTGACAAAATCCAATCTACCAATCTCATATGCTGTTAAAATGTATAGATGTTTACAAACATTGTACTAAACAGCATTAAAATATGTATTCACAAATGCAAACGAGAGCATAAAACGTGAAACGTGAAACAAATAACTGCATTGCTTGCGTTTTCAATGTGCATTATTTCGCCTATTCTGCCCTCACTTTGCTGTGTGCAGAGAGTTCGCAGGTGTTCATCTGTGCCAGCATTTGTGTCAGGCCTTGCAGAGCACATTCACACGCGATTCCTACACGCAAAAAAATCAACTTTGCCTTGCTTACTTGACAAAAGCCATGCGATATTTCACATTCTGTCCCCTTCTCTCCAGTGCACGTTTCCACAGTCCATGCTGCTGGTCCCCTGTGTCTCCCTCTGGGGAGCACAGCGCCTGCATGCATTCTCAACCACAAGAGGCCACAATCTATTTTTCACCGTCATTTTCTTTTTCTTTTCCTGTCTCCATTCTGTAATAAGCATTGATAATTAGCAAAAAAGACGTGTGGATGTTTGACCCAAGCTAATTAGAAAGTTTTTGAGTCTTGCCAGCTATAGTCACTGCTGAAATAATGAATCGTAAAAAGGGTTCATTACGGAGCTGAGGGAATAGCTTCGATCTGAAT